ACAACAAAAGCAGTACGCTGCATTATTTTTTGGTGAATATAATAACCAAGATCGGTTTATTTCACCAAGATTTGGGCATTAGGCTATTAGTTGATGTTGCTATTGCATTTAGACTGGATTCATTTTGAAATACGTGGCATCCACGAATAATCATTTCGGTGCGAAGATGGTTCGATATTATTGGAAGATTATTAGAGAATCTTAAATAAGCATTATCTTTGAACTCCAGAACGTCCGGAATTGCAGTGAGTGTTTCTGTGGACATGAATTTGGGATTTCTGATGTACTTGGGCCCCCAAACTCACCATCTTTAGAGTATTTTACTTGTTGTGATGTGTTATTGCATAAACGTTTAGCAGCAATAGAAATACTATTTGAATCTGATTTTAGTTCTTTATCCTTCTTAACTTCTGTTTTTTCTTTTTGCGATTTTTTTATTAAATATAATTCCTTTCTTATTCTGGAGTTCTGAGCTTCTTTTTCTTGCTCTAGTTTTCTTTTCCGATTCTAAGAACCGCTAAGTTTTTTCCTTGGCATTGATATGGTATAAATAAAAAATAATTCGTGACAGTTGCGGGAAGAGAAGTTATTGAAGAAATAAAAAGACATTAAAGGCAATTACCTTTAAACTATTAGTGATAGGTAGGACTGATGAGGCCCTAAGCTATTTGAAACCTGGGGCCCTTTACAAGTCTTTTATGCTATATTTAAAATTTTTTTTGGGGGGAGGGGCAGTAAACTATAGGTTGTGCAGCTTATACGTAAATCCTGCACTGGTGATAGGGAAATGGGAGTTGCATTTTTGTATAAAGCTTGTAGGATTCTCTTGTGTAAGGCTAAGTTAACGTTGTTAACTCTTGCGACATCCAGAGTGCGTTTCCATCACTCTTGCGACTGGCACCGGATAGAGTTAACGTTGTGTCTCTGTGTAAGGCTAAGTTAACGTTGAAAATGAAGAATCTTAAGAACTGATAAGCGAATAATCGCTTGAGTTTGTGTGACAAGAAACAACAAGATAGAAGGGTGAAATGGCCCTTTATTATTTCAATCGTAAGTTTTAACAGGAACTCCGTCTTGGAGTTGTACAATAAAGCCGACACCTCGGGCTTGAACTTAAGAGACTAAGAACTAAGCTAAACTAATCACTAAAAAGATATAGCCGAAGCTATCAAAGATTCTAACGGAGTTGGCCACCTTAATGCTAATTGACTGTGAAGTTATCAAGGGCCTAAAGTATGGCCGAGCGTAATAATAGCTTAAGAGAGAGAGTAAAAAGCCTAAAAAGGCGGAACGCGTGCTAGCCAGAATCTCTGGTATCTCTCTCCCTCAGACAGTAAAACTTTGCAGTTATATATCGGTCTTCCTCATTAGTATTCAGACATGATTCTAAAACTACGTTCTGGCCTAAAGTGGTAAGTTGAAGTTAAGAAGCAATAGGAAAGGAAGTTTAACTCAAAATTTATTTATTAATAGAATTAACAAAATTTAATTGTTAATAGAAATAACATAGTAAGCTAGCTACTGCGGAAATTTGGGGGCTCTAGACTCGAAATAGAAATTTCTCTAGGCCTACCGCTTCCTTTTTGACGCCGTGTGCGGCCATGGTTCATCCATTCCTGCCAACTTCGTATAATATTGGCATCGCTCCTGCTCAAATGTCGAGCTATTCGCCGATAAGACCAACCGAATTCTTTGAGTCCAACTACATGACCTCTCTCAAATTCTGACATCCTGGCATATCGTTCGCGCACCTGTATGCGAAGCAAAGTTAATGTCTACCAGAGTACATGGAATGAAATTCATCAAGAAATTATGGCCTGGAATCGTAATTTCTCCTCTTAAATATCCTGCTAATTGAGCAGACCAGATGCGCTGTAGCGACAACCGTTCATTCATTGGCAGCCAAAATGTAAAATTTTGCATTTCTCGTCGAAACCTGTATGCGTATCAATTTGCTTTATATCTTCCTCAGCGTGTTTTTTTTTTTTTTTTTTTTTTTTGTCTAAGAGTGAAGTTTAAGGTCGAAGGGTTTTAATATGAGACTGTACCATTTGTTATCATTTTAAAATAAAAAGCGGGAGCTATACATGGATTTCGTTTAAAAAAGTAAAAACATATCTCTATTTTAGAAGAATAAAGTGGTCAGAAAGAACGTTTTGTATACGGAGATATCTGATTGATGTACTGCAAACACAAACATTTATTACACATTTTATCAGACATATCAAGAAAATAAATTATTGATTATATTACAATTATTAATTTTAAATACATTTTCGAGAAATCGATCAAAATAAAAACTGAAATTTTCGGAAAATCTTGTTTGCAGAGAATTTGGCGCCCCTGGGCATCATACACCCCCTTGCCCCCCGTCGCTACGCCACTGAGGAGAGGTCTTAATATCCATGCCCCGAAGTTCCGTCGTATGTGTCCTTCAGCTCCACAGTTCGAACATTTTAAGATTGGTTTCTTGTCACTGATATTTCGTCTCAACGTATTCAGTTGTCTGGTTATATCGTCTAGACGAACACTGACTTGATCCCTTGTCTCCTGGACATGAGCAGCTCTGATTGGGTTACAGTCTCTACGAATTGCTTGCTTGGCTGCCTCGAATTTCATAGCGTACACTAGTGCGCTTTTTAAATATTTAACACCCACCATTCGTAGAGCTTTCTGTATTTCAGGATCCCGGATGCCGTCGATAAAGTTTTGCAGGGACAGAATTTCCCTTATTTCTGTCGGGCACTCCAAAAAGGCGAGATGGGACAGCCTTCCAACATCTGTGGAGAGTTCCTGAAGTGTTTCTGTGGGCTTCTGTTGATGGGATTTTAATTGATGCCTGCTGTAATCTTTTACACATTTCTCGCCAAAGCACAGCTCCAATGCACCGGATAGAGTTTCAAAGTCTAATCTCTGGTTTTTTGGAAGAGTCTGCAGGATATCCGCTGCATCTGCTCTCAAAGAAGTGGCGAAATGACAGGCCTTAGCCTGGAGATCCCATCCATTTGCTTCCGCCACCATAGAAAACTGTGTTTTATATACTGGCCAGGAGGTCTTCCCATCATAAATGGATAGCTTCAGAGAGGGACGAGCAGGCATAGGTAAAAATTTGAAACCATGAGAATTGTTTCCTGCAGTCGCTACGAACTTCTTTTAAGTATCAACTTCTTTTGCAACTGCTGAAACACTGTCATCAATTTGTTGTTCGATTTGGTGCTGAACGGGAAAAAACCCTTCTGTATTTGATCTTTGACAGAAGAAACTCTTTCTTCTATTCGTTCTTTTACCGAAGAAACTCGTTCTTCTACTTGACCAACTTTATTTCCAACAGTATCAATTCTGCCTTCCATAGTCTCAAATATGTTTTCTATTATACAGGTAATCTCTTTTTTAATTTCCAATTGACCTATTTTTATTTCCTTTTTAACAGATTTCTGAAAAACTTCCATCTTTTCTTTAACGATTTCATGTCCCGCTTTAATCTCTTCTTTAAAGGTTGCTTGGCCAGCTTCCATCTTTTCCTGACTAGAATTCATCTCCTCTTTAACGGATTTAATTTCTTCTTTAACGGAATCTTTCATGGCTTCTTTAAACGCAGAAAAGGCAGCCATGAATTTCTTTAAATGTCCTTCCATCACTCTTGCGACTGGCATTGAATATCCCACTTCTGACACCAAAAACTGGTGTGTGCATACGGGTTCGTTATGAATTGAATACACAAGTCTGATGAAAAATGAACAGTGTTATCATCACAACAACTAAAACAAAATGCTTAAATTTCTTAAGATATTCATAGAATATTTCAATATCTCACAGTAGTTATCTTTTAAACTACTAAAAACTTTCGACAGAATTTAACTCAAAACACAGACACGTAAAGAAAGATAATCTGCAAATTCGCTACACAGTCAACAAGAACAGTTTTTTAAACAAACTCTTAAAACAACTACTATGAATTGAGAGGTTTTCCTCCTTTTATAAGCTTTTCAAATCACGCACGAGATTGTTCTAGCAATTTCTCGAAATCAAAAAGAGATATTTATTTATTAAATGTTAAATGCATGAGGTCTTTCATTTTCAATTTTCCGGCTTAGATTTCTCTTAATATTCGTCACGCGCTGCACTGCACGGAAATAAAACAATTTAATTTATAATTCTACTAACATTAGCTATTTAAATACCAAATCCCTAACAATATATTCTCTATTTTTTTTCATGTTTGATTTCCTACTGTAATGCCAATTGATTATTAACAGCATACCACATATACATACATTATTTAGAAACTAAATTATTGCTTATTCGCCTCAAGAAAGAAAGTGAATTTCCAAATTTTCGTTCAACTGTCAAGCAAATTAAGTGCTCTTAAGGTAATTTAGACTACATCATTGACTACTCTATTAATCAGTTTATAAATTACAATAAAAGCATCAAAATTCGTTCTAAGTACAGTTTTTTGCAGTAGCAAAATTTTTCTTTGAAATTAAAGACTTAAAATTTAAAAATTTTTTTGTGTGAATCATTTGCATAATTTTTATTATTTTGAAATGCATCATTTAGAAATACAAATATGTGTTTAAAATTCAAATACTTTAACGATTTGAAAGTATAAATATTCTAATTAGCAAACAGATAACCAAAATTAATCAATTCTTCATAATTAAAGAGAAGAAATGTTTAATACATTTTGGCAAACTTTTATAATTGAAAATTATTACACAAAGAATGAAAAAAAAAGAAAAAAAAAATAAAATAAAATAAAATAAAATAAAATAAAATAAAAATAAAATAAAAATAAAGTTCCAAATCTTAACTATCAAAAACTAACTACAATGGAAATAATGTTAACTAATTATGTAACAAATAAAATTTTGAGAAACAATAGTGCATCTCCTCACTTAAAATTTACATTACAAAAACATAAAGCCTAATATAGCTTGCTTTGTAACACTGCATTTTGAGTTGAACAAATAAACAGGGTTAACATGATGAAACACTGGTTTTTTTTTTTTTTTTTTTTTTTTTTTTTTTTTTTAATTAGTGTGCTTTAAAACTGGACAATCAGAGAAGCTGCAACTTCCTTAATTCCTCTGCGAAGATCAGTGAATGAATGATATTAATAATTAAGAAGACAATTTCATATTCAATAAGATTTTACAAGAAATAGCTACAATTAGTTTGAAATATCCCAAAGCAAATTTCCAACACAGTTTTAACTTGCATACAGTATTCAATAAAAAATGCTTTTGCAGAGGACCTTTTAAGTAAAACTAGCTTACATTCATGCTATACATGGAAGAAACCATGAAAACACCCATTCCCTGAGACTTGAATCCAAGTTGAATTACCAGTGTTCAGCAATTTTATTGCTTGGCAGAGGGCCCAAGATATGCAGAACTAAAACTGAGACATAATGAAGTTTCCTCAGGCAGGAAAAATGTCTCGTGGAAGTTCTTTCCATATTTTTTCAAAAAGAAACAATTTAATCTATTTATCTAACTACAAAAGCACTAGAAAGTGCAGCTATGCTCTTAAGACCAGTTTTCATACATCTTAGTTCTTCAGTTTGAGTTTTAATTTAAAATAAAATGCTTATAACATGTCTAAAAGTATTTTTAAATTTTAAACAAAATATATAAATTTCTTTTAATGCATATTTAAATTTTATCAGCTTAGAAAATATGAAACAATCTACCAATATTGCACCTTTCAATCCACAGGCACAATGCAACAGAAAATATACAACTATAATCACAATAATATCACATTGCATTCTCTAGTCCTGACTAGAAAACATTGTAAGGAATACAAAATTTTAAGTAAGGGATATCAAACGAATATCCTATCATATTGCCGTAAAGAACAGGTACAGTAATTTTAAATGAATAAAATATGTAACAACTTTTCAAAATAATTGTAGTACTAATGGATTATTCGGCCAACCCTGATACAAAATCATAGAGCAAGCACTATGTCGCTAAAGTAGACAACCTAAAATTTAATAAAAATATATTTATCCGGCAATCTACTAAGGGTTATGGCAGAAAGTAATGCAACCCATCTACCTCAGTAGCGCTGGCAATGTGCACAGTTTTGAAATTCGAGGGTCATGTTAGTAGTTTCTCTTTGTTGTGAATAGTGTGTGAAGTTTCTTTTTTTGTTAACAAAACATAATGCCACTGCAGAATTTGCCTACTAGATGGAAAAGAAAGTATTGCATTCGCCCTCCCCAGAAACAATGGTATTTTCCCTTAGTAGTGGACTGCAGGAGTACGCATTCCATGAAGCTAGACTTTTTTTTTTTTTTTTTTTTAAAGGTAAATCCAGTCGGTATGTGCATGGATAGAAGTGCCAATTTGCTTCGTGATGCCAAGAATTCTACAATCCTCTGATTTTTAATTTAAAAAAGATAACTTTTAATGTGGACAAAAAGACTGGGAAAACAGAAAATGAAGTGTTTTATTGTGGATGTTTTCTGCATTTTTAATTTAGTTAATTTGTAGTTGTGTAATTTTCAGTGTTTCATTATGGATGTTTGTTTTATTTAATTTTTTGTGTTTTATTAATGTTTCTTGGATTTTTAATTTCATCAATTCATTGCTGTTTTATGTAATATTCAATGCACCACCATTTTTTAAAATGGCTAGTGATTTTTACACGTTGGGCTGGTGAAAAATTAATTGTCAATACTTGTCGATTTTGCACAAGGATTGGTTGAATAAAGCAGGTACCACAGTTTTTTGTGTATAACATCAAATTATAAACAAGAAATAAAGGTATACAGATGTATACTCATGAACTGTATTTTAATACAGTGCTAAAGCTTGCAAAAATCAGTGTTATTCCATAGTTCATCATAATTTTAATTTATATCACAGATTTAAAAAGAAATCATTTTAAATCAATTTACAACATAGCATCACATGAGTAAAAATAATCTCTTATAAATTTAATATACTGTGCATACTGTCATTAACATACAACTATAAAAATATATTTCCAATTTTTATTGCAAAATTGTATAGAATAACAGATTTCAGTGGAATGTTTTTCTAAGCCAATTTCAATTTACTTAAAACTAACACAGCTTAAGATTCTCCCTAGCCAGTTAACACTTTATTACAAGAAAAAACCTAATTAAAAAGCAATAATATTTTAAGAAGTGCAGCAGTTGAAATCAGTGCACAATTAGGTACAGTCAATATTCACACACGTTAAATGCTATCAAAAATTTTAAATTCAAAGCAAAACATAACAATTAAATGAAAACATAGAAGTTAAAAAAACATTTTGATTTCATCTCATAAAATTTATATGTTAAACAAGTAGCGTATAGTTACATACATAATATGTAAAAAATATTATGATAAAAAAAAAAAAAAAGACTCAGAACCAAGATTGTGAAAATCATCTTGCACAGTAAATGAAATATTACAAAATCCAAAAACATAATAGTATGAAGAAATTTATAAATTACTCAGATTTTATCACTAATCATATATTTTCATAAAATTTTCTCTTTATTTTGTGCAAATTTCGCTAAACATACACCAATTTTATAAAAATATCTCCCAGATTTTTAATATTTTTTAATACTACTTGCACACTCCATTTCAGAAAAACTTGTGCTTCATATTCATTAATGTAACACAAAATTTAATCTAGAGCAGGGTTGGACATTTTTCTAATTTAGAATAGAATTTACATAGGTTTTCATAAAATTTTGCTTTCGTTGCAATTTGGCACTGAATCTCAATTTTGGCTCGGAATCTGTTGCAAAATACAGCATATACTGTTAAAGCATTCTGAAGCAATCCACTGAATAACTACCATACAGCATATATAAAAATACCATCAGCATTTTATCAGCAAACATGGTTTATCTAACTAAAAGTAAGCTAATTTATTAACAGATAGTATTTAGCATTGAATAAATTTTTTGATTGAGATATCAGCATTTTGGTAAAAAAATATGGCAACAAAAGCTAAAACAATAAAAGAATTAATCTGAACAGCTATCTCTCCGTTGCCTTTTCGAAGGAAGTGAAGCTTCCAAAGCGTTGCCAAGAAAACCTTGAGCTGTTCCAAATAGATTTATGGGAGTGTTCCCATCAGTAATAAGAGCAGACTGTATGCCAAGACCTTGTAGTAATTTGACCTAAAATAAGATATATATATCTTTTAATAACAAGATAATGGTTCAAACTTTTCATAAACAAGTATGAAAAGATAATGGTATGATGATGAACAATATGTAATGTTTTGCATATAGAATAGTTTAGTTTGAGAAATAAGAGTATACAAGGATATAGACTAAAAGTGCCATGTTCATGAATTATAATTGTGATATGCCTGAAAGAACACAAATAAAGTCTTAAGTCAAAGCTATTAACTAAATTTTGGTTAATTTTTTTTATGAATCCCAAACAATACACAAATATACCTTGCGATCACAAAATTATTCGCTGTAAAGGGAAAAAAACTTATGTTTTGATGAAACTTTTTAACTTAGCATGATTTAAGAAAACATTTGTATATTTAAGTGGAAAATATTATTAAAAAAAATTTTTTTTAAATTAAAAGATCGGCAAAAAACAAAACAGGCAAATGTGCCCTTGTAAAGCACAGGAAATAGAATGCACGTTATTTCGAAAAAATAAATAAATAACACTAATAAAAAGAATCCAATTTATGAGGAAAAATAAAAAATTATGCATATTCTATGTTTCTTCAACTTATTCACAAAAAAAGTACAGAATGATGAAGTACATCATTTTTCTACATATCTAGTTTCCTTCCTTCCTTTACAGTTTACTTGGTCCAGTATTCCACAAGCTTGCATATTCTTTCTAAGAGGAAGGTTTTTGGTTAACCATGTAAACATTCACACACCCATTCCAAACCTCTTTCTTAGCAGAAAATCAGTGACCTTATAAAGTATCTTTGAGCAGTTATGAGATCATAATCTAGGAAGGGATGAATTCTGGTCTCTACACATACTGTTCCAGCACCTTGAAATCCACAAGGTTACGGTTTTCAGTGCACTCTGCTCAGTAGTAAGCTTAACCTATCTTGCACAGATTTCATGCAAACTGAACTGATCTTCAATGATTTGATAGGCAGAACCGTGTTTAATCTGCAGTAAACATGCTGCCTCATTAATGGTAATTTCCTGCTTCACAAATACCATCTCTCGAGTTTCCTGAATTTTCTCATCAACGGTGGATGTCGACAAGTATCCTGCTGCCTGTGTGTATCATGCTTAACGAGTCATTTTTAAACTTCATTATTCACTCAAAAGCACATCAACATGATAAAGCCCTGTCCCCTCCATGGGTCCTACCTTGAGGGGTGGCAATGCATGAGTCGGCTCTCCTGATTATGTGGCTAATCGGGTGACACCTCTCACTCGAGCTAGCAACTCATAATGTCAATATGCTGCAAGTGGACAGTATGGAGGAGATTAGCTCCCTTCAAAGGACTTGAACCACTGTTCTGATTGGTGGCCATTTAGGCTTGGCAGAGACTGTAAGAGTCTAATCAATTCTGTCTCGGGCTATGTATATTGCTATACATAATTTACATAAAATCTGATGGTTGGTATTAATTGTGTATGGGCTGCTTGACAGCCTGAGTCTGAGCCCATTCTCTACCATAATGGCCCATATTACGTAGGAAGCCTCAGATAAAATTCAGATTAATACAACTTCTGACTAGAGAAATCAGATCTCTGCTCTTTGTTCTTCCATGGTACACAATGATAACGGAAAACATCTTTATACTGCTACAGCAGCAGCGAAAATTATGTAATGAAGATCAAACATTGATTATGTGATACTAATACTAAACACGTATGTACAAAATTCAGTGTGATAAACTTAAGGATATATTATGGTGAGAGTGCATATATATATATTATTTTTCCGTCTAAAAATACTTGTATTCAAAGTACCTCAGCTGTATTTGACTACAACTTTTAACTTTTTGAAAATGAACAAGGGGAAGCAAAGCATACAGAAATCAAGGAATTTTCTCTATAACAATTTATATTCCAATAGAATGATTTTGTCAGTAATGATATCAATAGGGAACACACTGCAACTAGTTCCTCGTTTAAAAATAAATATCACTTTATTTATTTATTTATTTGAGCAATATTATTAAATTTAAAAAATATATAAAATAATAATTATTTATGCAGAATATCAGCTTTTATGATCAGAATAATATTCTAGAGAAATTCATCTTGTTTCAATAAGAAATCATGAAACTTTTCGCATCTAAGAAGAGAAACACGTCAAACATAACTTGGAGAAAATGATTTATCGGTGAAAAAAAATTGACAAAAATATCTTTTGACTAACCAGACATATTTTTAATTCATGCAGTTCATATATTCCTTCTGATTGAGAAAGTTGACAAGATTTTTTTTAACTCGTGGAAGTTAAGACTGTAGAATATAAACATAATAGACAAACTAAAACTCTCTTGTATGAAAACTTCAAGAGAAATTCAGCAATCATAATGCAGTGTTTATTAATGATTTTACTTAATAATGCATACAACTGTTTAATACTTAATAATGCAAATTTAATATGAACTGGAAGAAAAGATTTTAGAAATCAAACATGTATAGCAATACACCACAGCCAGGGTCAAAAATACTTTTGACCTTGGCTGTAAAAATAATAATAATAAAAAGTAAAGGCTGTTTTTAAAAAAGTAAAAAAAAAAGTAGCATGTAAAAAATTTTTTTAAATAGTAAGGACCAAATATCCCAAACAATTATTATATTTTTCTTCGGTTTCTCTTTACAGCTATCATACTTCAGTTTCAGGGTTTTCTCTGATCTTCAGCAGATAGTGCATTATACGGCAGGGCAGTGGCAGTGGTGATTTTTTTTAGTGATTTTATTGTCTGATACGTGGCAAAGAGATGAAAATTCTGATGCACAGGATTTCATAATTTGGCCAGATTAAGCATGTAAAAGGACTGCATTCAGCCTGTGGCCCAGCTTTTGTTCACCTTTATTCTGGAGACTATTATCCCATTTAAGGCATGTAACATAAAATTCACTCCAGACTTTGCTTATATTTTTTTATTTTCTTCCAGTTTTGTCTTTGTGCTCCAATTTATTCAGTAATTTAACTAATGAAAATGTACTTTAGCAAATCTGAACATTAATCATCTGAAAAATTATTTGCATTTCTTTTATAAGAGAAAAGTGCTTAACCACCAAGGGTCTTCAGATTCATTAATTTCAACTCAGAATTTTCCAAAATGGGGGGGGGGGAGGACAGCTCAATATTCCATATTTCCTTTCTGAAAAGACTTTGTCATTAATTACTTTCATAGACCAGTCTTGAAACAGAAATTAATCTTTTGCCCTTCCTTTTTCATCCCTTCAAAAGAGTTCTGGTAAGACTTCAGTATCTTACTATTTATATAAATGTTATCCACCAAAGAAATAAAATTATTGCATCTTCTGTACCACAACTACGGGCTCAAGCTAGATATTCAAGGAAAAATTAATGCTGCTTTTGCAAGCAAATTTTATTCCTATATTGGATGGATGCTTAATGTTTCTGATTTTAAAAAAAAAGTAATAAAAAGAAAAGAAAAATATGACTCAATTTAGATTCACTTCTGCAAAACTAGGAAAACTTTCATATAATAAAGATGAAGGGCTGACTGTTGAATTCTAGAGAGGATTAAAAACACTAAAATTGTATTATATCGCCTGTTAGAAGCCCCAAAATTCTAATTATCAATTAGTAAATAAAAAATATCACATTGCTCAACACAGTTTTCAAAGATATTGACATTTTAAAAGAACAAAAGTGTACCTGAAATTCCTGTCCAGCAGATGCAATAGATTTAATAGTATCACTTCCTAGACTTTCAACAATATGTTTGAATTTGTTAACTTCAATCTCTGCAGTTTGCTGCAATTTTAAAACTTCAAGCTCATTTTGCGCTTTTAGGTAATTGAGTTCTGCTTCACGTGCTTTTTGCAGACGTTCTAATTCTGTTTCCTAAAATAAATAAGTATAAACAATTTCCAAAAATTAAGATAATTATAAAACACACTACTTTAAATCTGTAAAAGCATCAAGTATCAAAAATATTTTTATAACGAATAGAACAAATACATTAAAATGTAAATAAAAAGTTAACCAAATGGTGAAAATGATTGAAAAATACAATAAGAAAATAATTATATATCTAGTATAACATTAAACTGTATTATTTCTAATTAAACAAAAAAAAAAAAAAAAAAAAAAAAAAAAATACTACAATTATGATAAAAGATCCAAAACTCCTCTTATATTGCCAAAAATTTAAATTTAATTAAATTACACTATTAAAAATCAATTATATACTTAGAATTTGTTTCCATACACAGTGCATCTACAGAGTTTTAGGAGTAAGTTTTTTTAACATATTCTAGCAAATTTGCCAAATGGTTATTTACTGTGACATCTCGATTTGTTTCCCCGAAGATACTGTTTGCTTATGGTAAAAATTTTCTAAGCACTTAATGTTTCCCATGATCCAATAAATATTTGTCATCCATATTTGCACAAAGGATGGCAAAAAACTTTTTGCTGCTGAGTGGGAAAAAACCACAATCAAGATACTTGAAATGCTATGTAAGGTATACAAGAATCGAGCATCAACGTGACCCATGCTTTTCATTGGTCTAGACAATTTTGTGATGGATTCAAAGATGTTAATTATTAGCTTAGCAGTGGTCGCACTTTACAGTCAACAACCCTTTCTGAAAAACTCTCATCTGTCTCTTTGAGAGATTGCGGATAAACTTAATATTAATAAAAAATGTCAAATGTCACGGATGATCTTGAAAAAAAAAAAGTATGCTTTTGTTTCATCCCTTATGCACTGATTGAAGATCAAATTTCAATATATGTCCTGTTTTGATTCAAACGACAGTAATTTTTACTTTTCTTAGCAGTTTGTGAATCAAGATAAAACCTGGGGGTGATCCCAAGGAATTAGTTTCTGAGAGACAGACTATGACATTTGTATTCTATAAAGATGTAATACGCAGACTTTTATAGAGAACTCAGAACTTAAGGCCTGAAAAACCTCAAATTAATAATTAGTTCCTGCTTCACCATAATATGCTATCATACAATTCCATTCAAGTTATTTCTAGCATAGAAAAGGTCACAATTGTTAACCACATCCTTTCTTCACCAAATTTGAAACTTACAGAATAGATTTTCTTCCATGAAGTTTTAGCTTAAAAATCATTACTTTTATTAGCACAGAAGAGTTTAGAAAACTATAGCCAGAGATTTGAACAGCATTAAAAAAGACAAGTTCGATGAATAAATCAAATAGCTGTATGTACTAACATTGATAGTATGTTGAAGCAGAAAAAGTAAGAATGTTGTTACTTTCAGCTGTTGGTTTAGTAAAAACTTAATCCTATAACTTTTTAAACAAACTGAACATTTGAAAATTCTAAACCCAGAAAGGGAAAGAAATCATTTGTAGCCATAAAAAGTAGCTTACTGCTTCAATTTTCAGAGCTTCAGCTTTTGCCTTTGCCTGTTCTACTGCAGCTTCTGCTTCTATTCTCTGTGCCTCTGTACGACTAAGAGCTTCTGCTTTAGACTGCCCACAGTTTTCTATTGCCATACTACTTACTTTCAACTCGAGCAAACTTTTTCGAGATTTTTCCGCTTCTACTTCGTCAGATATGCGCTGACGCTCTAAACGTCCCCGAGCTTCTTGTTCCCTTCTTTCAGCTTCATGTCTAAGAAAATATGAAATTTTATATTTATCTCATTTTATGACTGAATTTAAATATTACTATAAAAGCTGCAAATGCAGCAAATGATTTTTTAAACAAGCATCCAGAAGAACAAGAATTTTATGAGAAATGTTTTATCGTATGAAAGCAATATAATTAATACTTATGCATAAAGTAAACCACATACAAAATAAAATTATGAAACAAAGGAAGTTGATTCTATCAAAAACAAAAATCAATTAAGGATTCAGGTCCCTCTCATGTTTCTGTTGCAAATTTGTTTTAAAAAGGCTGTGGAAATAATTATTTTAAGAAGTACAAAAATTATTTATTAGATCATGTCTGTTGCAATAAATGATAGTCAGATGGTAGATAGATTTTGTAGACTTAATAATAAACTTTTATTATTAAGTCTACAAAATGCATTTTCAGAAATAAGTTTCAATTAATTTTTTGAAATACATTTCGATAATTACTCAGAATAGACAACTAAAAAAACAATCAGTTCACAAACGCTATTTCAATTTATAATAAGTAATCACAAATTTATACAACACATTTAATTGCACAAATATATATATATGCTTTTCATGACTAACCAAAAAAATTCAATTACAGTGAACACTTATTATTTAATTTAAAATAAAACAAAAAACAAGCAAGTTTATATGGAGCAGAAATTTTGCAAGGGACATTTAATTTGTTTTTTTGTTAGAAAGTCATGTACCCTGGGGAAAAAAAAAACATTTATGATTACACTTTTCCTCATTTCAGGGCACCTTCTGAACTGTGAAATCACATTTACTTAAAGAAGAATCACAAATTATTCTACCCTGTGCTCATATAATTCTACAAGTTGTATTATTGTTTCCTATCTCATGATGATTGTGGCAGTGAATTAATTTTTTTATCCACTAGGTTTAAGTACATCATTCTTCACTACCAATGGCACAAGTGATTGAGATTTATTAATTTTTAGAACATAGAACTAACTTGACTTACAAAATACAAAAAATAAAGGCATCTCTTTATCAAAACGACCATTATAAGTCTCTGGCAACACTTGAAAACTGCACATTAAAAATTGGACACTTAGGTTTGTCAATTCTGGGACATAGATGCAATAGCCACTTTAGCAAAGAACTAAAATTAATTTTTTATATTTAAAATTATTGTTGCTGTGATGAATCTCCAGGGTTCGTACACATTTCTGCACACGGAAATTAAGTACTTTTAAGGACCACTAATGAAAAAAATTAAGGACCTATGAGCAAATGGGAACTGAATAAATTCAATTAAAAATATTATCTATGCCTGAATTTCACTTATCATCTTAAAAGTAAAATAATTTTTACCATTGTAATACCATCCTAAAAGTAAAATAGATCTCTAAGAAGTGGGCATTGTTACTAAACATGAATTAATAAACATAATTATTAATAAGTTAATAAAATAAACTTTACGCAATTTATCAAGTAGCATTAAGTATTTTACACTTATAATAGTTGGTCACATTTCAAAGAAGATAAGTGACATTTACGTTTTACTAACAGTTAGATTTATGTTGATTTTTTTATGTCTAATTTTTATCACAAACTTGGTCAGTTTATAAGTTTAGTAAATAGCAGGTAGATTTTATGTCAAACAAGATAGGTTAAAATGAGAAGTAATATCATAATCAGCATGATTTATAACAAAAGACTGAATGCTGTCACCACTGCTGCTTATCTATAGACAGACCTGCTGATTAAAACAAACCTGAAAGGACTGATGTAGGCACAGTTGGTAAGTGTTAAAAGTTAGTGAGGCTCTGTTTGATGCAGTTAGTGTCAGCTTTGTGTACTATTTGAGTTCCAGGGGTTGTAACCCAGTTAATATACTTTAAGGTTCCAATATCACCTGAGGTGATAAGTTGTTTCTTATTATTTTAAGCCTCAGTAGATGCAACAGATAAGTTTTACTTGAATTTTTATATTTTTGTGTTTTATCTTGTGACCGCAGTGAGTATTAATGAAAGGCAATAACTCACTTTAATATGTAGAAATAATTTTTAAGGGTAAGCAGTTAGTAATAAATAATTAAATTAGGTAGTTTGATAACCTTAGTCATTATGGATTTACATGACCACTATTAAATTTTATTTTTTAACAATATTGTTAAAAAAGCCCTATTAAAATCAAAATCTAATAAAATTTCACAGTTTAAAATACATGCAATTTATGACATTGATTCTTAAACGATATTAGGATAATTACACATTAAAAGCTACAAAACATTTATGCTTTGTAACAACAACATTCAACAAAATATTTATCCGTCATTTTAATTTGGAGCCTTCCAAGGCATTTTGGCTAGTTTATATCGATTTCCTTCTCTTTAAGCATCTTTCCTATGTGAGGATTATGTTAATTTTATTAACAGTTAAATATTGAGTTAAATTTGTTTCCTGATAAATTCTTAACTTAAACTTACTACTTCCGGCCAGAACGTAGTTTTAGAATCACGTCTGAATACATAATGAGGATGAGCGGTATTTAAACCGTGAAGTAATTCGGTCTTAGCGAGTGAGTTACCAGGTATTCTCTCTGCACACGTCCACCTTTTTAGGCTTCTCTCTCGTAAACTATTATTATGCCCGGGCGTACTTAGGCCCTTGATAGCTTCGAAGTCAATTAGCCTTAGGAGCCAACTCAGTTAGAATCTTGATAGCTTCGGCTATATCTCTTCAGTTTAGATTAGTTTAAGTTTACTTCTTAGCCTCTTAAGTTCAAGCTCAAATGTTGGCTTTTATTGTACACTCCAAGACGGAGTTCTGTTAAATCTTAACTGAATAATAAAGGGTTATTTACCCTTCCATCTTGTTGTTTCTGGTTGCATGAACTCAAGCGATTATTTGCTTATCAGTTCATAAGATTCTTCATGTTCAACTGTAACTTAGCGTTTACAAAGTGAGGAACTCTACACCTAACAATTAGAGATTTGTCTCAATATGCAAACCAATGTTCTCGCTAGTTTTTGCGTGCTTTATACCCTAACTTGTCAACCTCTGCACAATGTACCTATGAGGGTTTACTTGATCTGGTAAAAGTCAACACCCCCCGACAGTCGTGAAGCATATTATCGCTATGTCTGAAAGTAACTACAATATCAGACAAAGGTTTAAATAAGCAGCCTCTTATTTAAAAAGAACTTAGAACATAAAGGCATGTTCTGATGCTAAAAAAATCAATTACAGCTCATGGTGTAATTAAACAAGAGCAGTCAAATTCAAAATAATAATGTGGACTAGTGGACTAGATTATACAATTTAATTTTAATTTAATCTGTCTTAGTAACTCTATCATATGAGGAAACAGAAATGGGAAATTATAGTAAAGGCTGAAATCCTAAACAATTCAGTAATTTACATAATAATAACTGCATATATCTTTGAAGAATAATTTTCTTTATGTACTCAATTTCTTTCTTAAACACGTTTCCTTTTCATTTTAGAATTTTTGGGTTTAATTAAGGATTTCTGTTATTCTAAAAAAACACTAAATGCATTTAGAATGTACAGAAAAAGCGGCTAATTTTATATCTTTAGTAATATGAACATTCAGAAGAAATATGAAATGTATATAGTAAAGGCCAGTTACAGAACTGCTGTGGGAGAATTTTTAGAATTTACTGACACACCGAACAACAAAATCTAGAAATGACAAAACTTTTAGAATTTAAAGCAGGCATTGGAAGCAGAATCTACAAAGGCACTAGGCAGCAGAATTTGGGATCCACAGGTGGGAAAATGCTATGTGTATGATGCATTAAGACATATTAGATGGATCTTTTAAAGTGTAAGTTTTCAATTTCTTTATTAATTAAAAAATCCCTTTCTATAATGCCTGCCCATCTTATAAGATTAGAAGCATTTTTAATATCTTCCACGCTTGTGTTTAGTGAAAATAAGAGAAAATAAAGGGAAGATAAGCATGTTAAGATTCTAGTATCAGAAGTAAAACTCTCAAATATTATGTTTTCATTGTTCTTCCAGATGTTCTCCAAAAAGTAAGAAATTCATCACAAACGTTCTGTAAAATGCATCCATTACGTATTGATACCATGGAGACATTTTTCATTTTGTCACATATTTCTCGAATCTTTTTAGAATCGTGGGTCTATAAATCTTGCCTTCAAATCCTTCTAAACTTTTCAAGCTGCAATATCTAAAAATCCTAAAGAAAAATTATTCGTACCATTTCTGTAACAGCAAAGGGCCAGAAATATTTTTGGAAAAATAAGGAGGGAAAAAGGTGTAAAATTAATCTTATATAGAAAACTGATGCATATTCTGAGAATTTTTAATGTTCTGAGAAAATTACATGGGAAAACTCTTACTATGAAAAAATTTTTAAAAAGACATTTTTAATTAATTACACAGCTAATTTTGCTTTTGCTAAGAGCTGTTTCATAAACTGTGCTTTATAGCATACCTTGTTTATTTTTCAGATTCAAAGTATTGTACAATAAGTTGCCAAAATGAAACATTATAATATGACAACGAAAAATAAAAATGTTTTATTTTAATGTTGTTATTTTAATGAAATTAATCAATGTTACGATGTTTTAAAAAAAATTGTCGAAAAATTCTCAGATCTCGGAATTAAAAAGTTTCTATAGAAACTTATCTTAAAATCGCCAAAATGCTGAAAAGTCGCCAAACTTAGATCCGTTTAATAAAAGAATTCACACCCCCAAAAGCGAAAGGTTGCTTAAGAGCTCTTTATTAGAAAAAATGAATTTCGAAATCCTATATTTCACTTCTTGCTTAGAAACTCGAGTACCCCATCATTTATATTAGAAGTAGAAACAAATTATATAACTCATGAACCCATTCAAAAGATAATTATATATACGTCAATGAATCGCCAAAAATATTCCTCCAAAATGCTAATTCACACTCAAAATGGCAGTCGTAGAAACAGAAAGAAATTTCAGATGATTAAAATTAAGGACCTTCTGCTGATTTTGGCGAAAATTAAGGACTTTTAAGGACCAAAAATCGATTCCAAAAAATCTAAGGACTTTTAAGGACTCTTAAGGACCATACGAACCCTGTATCTCACTTGTCTGATAGTGACATCAGAACAAATCCACAAAATTCATCATGACAAGGAATGCAAGACTGCGCCTGTCACTAGCAAGGGCAAGAGCCTTGAGCACTATAGATGGACAGCACAACGGAAGGGGGCTCAGTCTCCACATATTTAAAATATCCGAGGACTCTTGGCTCGCCACATATTTAGAATGCTCCCATGCCGCACAAACACTATGCCTTCTCCGGGATTCAATGAGGGCCCTTTTGTATGGCACTCAGTGTCACTAACCACTATCCCCACTGGGTAGCATATTTAAAATTATTAACACAACTATATAAAATATGAACAATTTTATGTAAACATGCAGCATAAAAATTACACAAAATTTTATGCAAAAAAGAGTGCTTGTTGTATTGCACAATGTTAAAAAATAGATATATTTATTTTTTTGCCTTGATTACATATCTCCTTATAATTCAGAAATGTATTTTAAACTAAAAGCAGTCAAAATAAAGAAAATGATTAGAAATGAAAAATAAAAAAGTGTATTTTTATTGTACGACACTGAAAATAATTTACCTAGCAGTGGCCTCTTGACTTTGAGTTGTTATCTCGATAGCTAACTGAACAGATTTTTGCAACGAATCTCGTGTTCTTTGATCAACTGGTTCTACGCTCTGAATGTCAACACTCGTTATATACAAATTATTCTGTGGAAAGCAGAAAGTTTTTCGAACTTTTTTGCTCTCATCCAAACCAAATACTGCGGTGCGTATTATTTTAGCAGAATTCTAAAAGCAAAATATTAAAAATAAAATATTTCTGCACAACAAATTAATAAGAGCAAAGTTAATTAAACACACAAAAATCTAAATTTATGAAAGATAATGCATAGAATGTAAAAATAGTCAGTAAAAAAATAAGTTAAATCTGACACCGGTCATTTAGAATGCATCTGTTAATTCAGGAGTATCAGATGTGGCTGAGAATATGTCATTTTGAAACCACCAGAAGCATTAGGCATTCACTTAGAGAGATAGCATCAATATAGCTAAATGTTATATAAAAAAAATTATTGAAGAAAACCAAATATTTTAATAACCTTATGATTAAACATGCTAAACTTCTCAAATTGACCGAAAATGTTACTTCAACCAATCTTCTGTTGACACTTTCTGAGGACAAAATTTTATGAATTGATTAAGGGGGGGGGAGATGAGCCAGTTGTGGGAAACTGATGCAAGTTTGGGAAGATCTCTGCCAGTTTTCACATTCAAGAGAATTTAGTATTCAAATATCATGCTTTACTTTGGCATTTATGCCTGTAATGTACTTTTTCTTTAGAAATATCACATAATTTAACTAGAGGCATTGGATATTTAAGTTAATAGCAAATAAAATGACTTTTTTCATAATTTTAGGATAACAATTTTTTCTTCCTTTCATCCGATTTTCTAGCATGAGTAGCATTTTTTTATATGTTCTGTCATCCAGAATTCCTCATTTCCCGAGTTTTCCAAATATTCAAACTTTTACTGAACTTTGTGTAAGGCTGTTGAAGATTAAATACATTTGCCAAAAATGCAAAGCACAAGAAGATGAACATTCAAACTATCAAAAGTGAACAATTTTTACATCTGTGAAAACTGCACAACATATAGAACTTTGATGGCCACTTTTTGTCAAAACTTCATTGAAAAAAAATATCCATTACTTTCATAAAACAGTGAAGTTACAAATATTCTCTTCAATGATGTTTTGACAAGAAAATGAACATTCAAACTCTGAACATGCTTCAATCGACAGCAATACAGTTTATTCCAAAACATAAATTGATTAAGAAGAATAAATTGAGCACATTCTATAGTTTATCTTCTAATAAGTTTTCATCATTAAATTTATTTGTAGAGCTTCTCTGTGTAGAGTTTAATTTAGATTCTACATTCTTAACATAGGTTATATTACGTTTACAAAATTATTTTTGTTGCGTTCTCTCAATAAATCCAATAATCTGGCATTATCAAAATCTCAAACCTGCTAGATTAATGAACTTGTATTATAAAAGCGTGCAAGGAAAGCAGTTCATACTTTATGGAAATCATCAAAATTTGTTCCAGCTACAGATCCTCGAATCCTAGAAGCTATCGCTTTGCAGAGGTCACCAATGAAATCAGGAACACTGAATAATTTGGCTGCAGCTTTAGGGCTTTTATCACCAACATCAAAATACCTATTGTAGAAAATTTTGAATTTTAGACAAAAAATAATTTTTTAAGAAATATTTCTAAAAATGATCAAAGCAGGAAAAAAAGAAACGTGAACACACAAGTTAAAACATAAAAATTGAAATTTGTTTTTGGAAAGAAAATTTTATTATTAAATTTAAAAAAATTAGCAATAAATTTAACTCTCTGAAACAAACAAAATTGAGCAAGATTTCTGCTTATAAAAATATGAAATATTAGCAAATAAATAAATAAATAAATAATACAAAAATAAAAGAAAAAGAAATCTGAAAGCCTTCAGATTTTACATTACGCCCAAAGGGGCATTTTTAAAATGTTTTGTATGTTAACTTTGTTTATTAATATCATATTCTTCACACCCAGACTATAAAATTCAATAACAATATCACAAAATAATTTTAAAATGAGCATATGTATAGATTTTGCAATACACACTGGAGATAAAGATGATTTTTTTTTCGTACCGTGTTGTCACTGTTTTCTTTGATATCATTCAGTTTGTTAATCAAGAATTCGTTAAAGTGTTACAAAATAAGAAATCGATAATAAAGCAAATTACAAATTGAGGCTTCCAGATGCTCATATTCGGTGGAAGATTACGTTATTCAAAATTTGATGGCCCTAGGTACTGTTGTTTTATCACAGTACGAGAAACATATGTTTATGCAGATTTTTCATTATTTAATTTCTTTAAACATAATACAGGGCTCTAATATTTGGTGGCAACACTTTGAAAAATGAACCACGGCAGAAAAAGAATCAATGCAAAATTCTAAAACGAAACTAATAGTCCTTCGGGGCAAATTCCCTTTTGGACTAACAAGCAAGAAATTAATGTTAATTATGTAAATATCTAATTGCTTATGTCATTAAAAACTATTTTGTGCCATATTTAGAGCTTTTTATTTAAATACGAAAAGGCTTACCAATTGTATGATAATTGCAAAGAAAGACGTGCGTGATCTGCAGTCTCTACTGTAATGATATCTGTGCAGAAATCAGGCCCAAGAAGTAAGCACAGAGTTTTGATAACATTGGGTCGTTTAGGTTTATCACCAGAAAGACAGAGCTGAGTAAACTGCTCATTAGGACTTAACATTACAAGATCAGGTCCAAATACAACTCTGAAAGTAAAAGAAATAAACAAGGTCAGTTAAATTAAAATGCATTGCAAGAAAACATACTTAAAAAGCTTAAACATATGTGATTATTGGTTCTCAAATACCATATATGAAAAAATATATCACTTTTTAGAACAGAATCCTTTGCCACCAAATGACAGGCCATTATAAATATATATATATGTGTGTGTGTGTTAAGCAATATTTATTTTAACACTTTTCATAAGCACCTACTCATGCATTTTAAAATATCCTTAAACTGTTAAATTAGTAATAAATGAGAAGGGAAGAGTTCAGACATAAATCAGAATAGGCATTTTAGAATTATAATTAAAAAACTCTTCTCTCTCTTAACCTTTATAGAAACTTTAAAAAAATTCAGTACCAGTTACATTAATTTTACTGCTTTTTTAGGTTCCTCATGTGACATTTAATTTGAAATTCAGCTTTCCAGAAATTTTTGACTGCTAAATGAAACAATATAAACTTCAATACAATTTAGTAGCAACTAGCTAGCAAAATTATAAATCTAAGCAGACAACAGGTACTTTTAACATCTTTCTCTGCATTATAGTTCACCTCACAAAATGCAAATGAATTTCATAATAGATCATTTACTTTAATTTCTCTTCTGTCTATTGGCAGAACAGTGAACAGTAAAAACAGTGAACGAATATGAATAAATGAAAAGATACTCAGCTGTGCAAAACTCTTCCTAATACCAAGATGTTTAAAAAATATTTATCACTCTTATTAAAGCAATTAATACACTGAATTAAACAAAAAGGCCTTTTGATTCTTTCCCCATAAAAAGTAATACAGTACAAAGTCCGAAATCCGGACGTCCATTATCTGGAATGATCTAAAATCCGGACTTCAAAGCCACAAACATTTTTTTTAATTAATGTTTTATGCATGCGCATTTGATGTTTCCTTCCATAATAAAATATGTGAGGATTTTCATTTAAAAATTCCGATTCTTAATTTCACTTAGGCACAAAATAAATATCTCGTTATGGAAAAATAATCAAGTAAGCATAAATTTGCGAGATTAATAATTTTGCTCCTTAGCTGAGTGTCTACTTAGCATACATCTCAAATCGAAACATTCGCCTACTTTATATCCCTGACGCCGACCTGGGTAGTCATTCTTTATTATATTTTGCTTTCATCACTGCATGTTTATCAATACATGACAACTTCAGTAATAACTCATGCTGTGATGTCTAAACTTTTTTTATATTAGTAATTGAATAACAAGAGTATGGCAACCTTCTATGCTAACATTACGCTTGGCGATGATTATAGATTTTTTTAATGAAACTCTTAGGCCAAAAGATTACATTTACTGCTACTTTAATTAAGAATAACTGATATGTTATTCAGAATAAACTCAGAAGCGGCGGCAGAATATGTTGGCAATGGACGGCAGAATTTATTGAAGGTGAAATTTTTGGAATTTGGAGAAGCACAAATGGCAAAATTAAGGGATGAAAAGCTTTTATGATTTAGGGAAAGCACTGGGATCCATAGTTCAGCCATGGTAAAAATTTAGAACTTATGAGAGCACTTTGTAGCAGAATTTAGAACACCTGTAGAGACTACACCAGGCGGTACCAAGTGCCGGCCCTAGATAAAGCCTTAAGTATATGTGGGAGTTTACTTATTTAGGACTCGGATTAGTTTGAAGCATGTGCAAGAAATAAACGTAGGTATAGTAAATAACTAAACTAATACAATTCAGGCTTAATTCAGTACGCAATAGGAGCAAGACAACTTAGCTTTCGTCGCCAATCTTGTGATACACAGCCAATAATGTATAACGGACGCTACTAAGCTACGCTAAAATTATCTTTACTGATTCTAAGGCATTTCAATTAATGTAGCAGACTGCGCTGCTCCCTGATCTTCTAATTTGATCCAGCTAATTATTTTTTGCAAACTGTTATTATTACAGCAATTTTATAAAAAATAAGCGTGAACTTTCGATTATGTCGAAAAGAGTTTCCAATTCTGGTGTTGCCATGGGATCTACAAAGCAAAACAATGTTTCGATGTCCATTAAACAAAAAGTGGAATTGCTGCAAAAAATGGATAAAGGCACATCTGTCTCAAAATTATGCGAGGAGTATGGCATTGGAAAGTCCACTGTATATGACACAAGAAAAAAGAAAAAGGAACTATTTGAATTTTTTGTGGAAGCATCTTAAACAACTTACATTGAAAGAAATGTTTAATAAAGTAAATGAATAAATAAATTGTAAATTTGGATATCCTTTAGATCATAATTGTTCTTTATTTTATAAATTACGATTTCATATTTTAATTGAATAATTTCTGTATGCCATCTTACCAGATTTAAATTGATGATCTATCATCTGAAAAAAATCACAAACCCAGAATCACCGATGTCCCGACCAGTCTGGATTTTGGACTTTGTACTCAAAAATTCAGTACCAATTACATTAATTTTACTGCTCTTTTAGGTTCCACAAATGGTATAGAATCAGTTCTAGACCTCTATCTGAGATAAACTGTCATAAAGATATAGTGGAACAAACAACAAAGAAGTTGGAAGTGACATGTATGTTTTTTGACATAAACAGCCTCTATAAAAGCAATGGTGGTCTGAATTTAATAAAAGAAACTACAAATTTTACAAAATAAGATTTTAAGAACTATCACAAAAGCATCACAGTAGTTTAAGTAATTTACAAATGCACCATAATAAATAAATAAAAATTTAAAAAAAGAACTGACATTCACATGTTTGATGACCTCCTCCCTAAAATGACATTTTTACATATAAAGAATTAGAAATCTTTCAAATTATGATTCAACATGAATTCCAAAATATAAAACACCAAAAAATAATCTTCTTTTTGGGTTTAGTTTATTTAATTATGACAAAGCCTCAGGAGCTATCTGCCTAATGAGACGGATGCCTTTGTGGAGGACTTTCCAAGGGAAAGTGACTTGTATATAAGGGTTCGTACACATTTCTGCACACAGAAATGAAGTACTTTTCAGGACCATTAATGAAAAAATAAGGACCTATGAGCAAACGGGAACTGAATAAATTCAATTAAAAATATTATCTATGTCTGAATTTGACTTTTATAATACCATCTTAAAAATAAAATAGATCCCTAAGTAGTAAGCATTATTACTGAACATGAATTAATTAGCATAATTATTAATAAGAGAATAAAATAAACTTTATGCAATTTATCAAGTACCATTAAATATTTTACAATTACTATAGTTGGGCATATTTGAAAGAAGATAAGTGACATTTAATAAAATCAAGGATTTTACTAACAGTTAACTTTATGTTTATTTATTTATTATTTGTTTTTGTGTGTGTCTCACTTTATCACATGCTCGGTCAGTCTAGAGATTTATTAATCAGCAGGTAGATTTTATGTCAAACGAGATAGGTTAAAATGAGAAGTAAGATCATAATCAGCAAGATTCATAACAAAAGACTGAAAGTTGTCACCGCTGCTGCTTGTCTAGAGAGAGACCTGCTGATTAGAACAAACCTGAAAGGCCTGATGTAGGCATGGTTGGCTAGTGTTGAAAGTTAGACAGGCTCTGTTTGATGCAGTTAGTGTCATAGCTTCGTGTAGAGTTCCAGGGGTTGTAACCCAGTTAACATACTTTAAGGTTCCAATAAAGCATTAAAGCATCAGAGGTGATAAGTTGTTTTGTATTATTTTAAGTCTCACTAGATGCAAAGAATAAGTTTTACTTGATTTTACATTTCTGAGTTTTATCTTGTGACCACAGTGAACTTGTCAACCTCTTTAAAATGTACCTATGAGGGTTTACTTGATCTGGTAAAAGTTAAGCTGTCCAAAACCCCTGACATATATGAATCAAGTTATCGTTATGTCTAAAAGTAACTACAATATCAGACAAAGGTTTAAATAAGCCTCTTAATTAAAAATAACTTAGAACATAAAGGCATGTTCTGATGCTAACAAAATGAATTACAGCTCATGGTGACGTAATTAAACACAAACAGTCAAATTCGAACTAAAAATGTTATTTAATTTTAGTGAAAGTTAGTCAAAGATTATACAATTTAATTTTAGTTTAATCTGAGTAATTCTATCATATGAGGAAATAGAAATGGGAAATTATAGTAAAGGCTGAAATCATAAACAATTGGGTAATTTACATAATAATAACTGCACATATCTTCGAAGAATAATTTTCTTTATGTATTCAGTTTCTTTCTTCAACACTTTTCCTTTTCATTTTAGAATTTTTGGATTTAATTAAGGTTTTCTTTTATTCTAAAAAACACTAAATGCATTTAGAATATATAGAAAAAGTGGCTAATTTTATTTATTTAGTAATATTATCAGGTTCAGTATTCCTCCTTACTTGCTTTGGGAACATTAAATGACCTGACTCGGAACAGGGAGCTTACTAAAGCTATGTTCAATAAATGTGGGAAGTAGACAAGATACACAGGAAGGTTATACGAAACCCTTTATTTTTCTCTCTTTACAATGATTTCCGGACTTCGGAATACAAAGACCAACCACTTGTGGTCTGAACGTAAGAATATAAAAATATAACTAAATTCTAACTAAACTAACTTTGAATTAATAAACAAGTGTCTACTTGAAGATTGGCGTATATTAACAGAAAGGCCGTTTGTAGTACAGAGAACTGTTAACACTACGATACGTTTTAAAATTATCAAGAGGATTAAACCTCTGGCCTTGAAGGCAACCAGCAACCGAGTAAAACTGCTATAGCAGCGGCCTGCTCCTAATCACTCTTCCTCTCTCTTGCTTGCAAAAAGCCACAACTTAAGTACTTGGCATTCGCAAGACAAATTTGCATAAATAGTTAAAGCTTTTAATTCTGGCAGGAAGTAGAAAATAAGAATGTAGTAAAGATTAAAAAAATAAACATTAGTAAAACTTAAGATCCTTACAATATGAACATTCAGAACAAATATGAAATATATATGCAGAGCTGGCATGGCAGAATTTTTAAAATTTAGTGACACACCGAACAAAAAAATCTAGAAATGGCAAGATTTTTAGAATTTAGAGCAGAGACTGGAAGCAGAATTTAGGATCCACAAAGATTGCATCATGTGGGAAAATGCCTAGTGCCCAGCTCTGCGTATGACGCATTAAGACATATTAGATGAATCTTTTAAATTGTAAGTTTTCAATTTCTTTATTAATACTATTAATGCCTGCCCATGTGATAAGATTTTTGATATTTTCCATGCTTGTGGCCAGTGAAAAGTAGAGAAAATAAAGGGAAGATAAATATGTTAAGAAAAATATTTTAGTATCAGAAATAAAACATTCAAATATTATGTTTCCATTGTTCTTCCAGACGTTCTCCAAAATGTAAGAAATTCATTACAAACTTTCTATAAAATGCATCCATTACATGTTGATACCATGAAGACATTTTTCATTTTGTCACATAGTTCTCGAATCTTCTAGAATCGTGAGTCTATAAATCTTGCTTTCAAATCCTTCTAAACTTTCCTTTCCAAGCTGCAATGTCTAAAATCCTACAGAAAAATTATTCCTACCAATTCTGTAACAGCAAAAAGCCAGAAATATTTTGGAAAAAAAAAGGAGGGAAAAGGTGTAAAATTAATTTTACAGAGAAAACTGATGCATATTCTGAGGAATTTTGAATATTCTAAGACAAATACATGAGAAAAACTTTTACTATGAAAAATTAAAAGGAAGACTTTTTAATTAATTACATAGATAATTTTGCTAAGAGTTGTTTCATAAACTCTGCTTTATAGCATTATAACTTGGTTTTTTTTTTTTTTTTTTTCAGATTCAAAATATTGTATAATAAGTTGCCAAAAGGAAACTTTATAATATGACAGCAAAAAATGAAAATGCTTTATTTTAATGTTATTTTTTAAATATAATTTCAATATATTACCATTATTTTAATGAAATTTATCAATGTTACAATGTTTTAAAAAAAATGGTCGAAAAATTTTCAGATCTCAGAATTAAAAATTTTCTATAGAAACTGATCTTAAAATCACCAAAATATTGACAAGTCACGAAATTTAGAACCGTTTAATAAAAGTGTTCACATCCCCAAAGCGAAAATTTGTTCAAGAGCTCTTTATTGGAAAAAATGAATTTTAAAATGCAAATGTTTCATTTCTTACTTAGAAACGTGAGTATCCCATCATTTATATTAGAAAAAGAAACAAATTATAATTCACGAACCCATTCAAAAGATAACCATATACAGTCAAAAGTCGTTAATCCGGACTCATCGGGACTTTGGCGATTCCGGATTATCGATTTTTCCTGATTATAGATCATCAGTTTAAATCTCGTAAGTTGGCATGCAGAAATTCTAAAATTAAAAATATGAAACCGTAATTTATGAAATAAAGAACAATTATGATCTAAAGGGTATCAAAACTTTACAAAAAAAAAAAAAAAAAAAAAAAAAAAAAAAAGCTTAATATTATTTGTTTACTTTATTAAACATTTCTTTCAAAGTAAGTTGTTTAAGTTGCTTCATTTTATGTGATAATACTTTCTCTTTAATTCTATAAACAGACATAATTTCTTGTCCAGTTACAAAGTTCCGCTGTTCAAGTCCCGTAATTGCTGTGCCGAGAATACCGACTAACTTGTCAATCGAAACTTTTTCGTTTTCACTAACCTCTCTGTCACCTTCTTCATGTCTTTATCCATTTTTTGCAGCAATTCCACCTTTTGTTTGACGGACATCGAAAATACTTTCGTTTTGTAGATCCTTTGGGAGCTCCAGCATCGGAAATTCTATTTGACATAATCGAAAGTTCAAGTTTACTTTTATAAAATTGCTCTTACAGTCTGCAAAAAATAATAAGCAGCATCCAATTCGAAGATTAAGGAACAACGCAATCATCAACATTAACTGAAATAAATAATTAGATAATTTTAGCTTATACCATCCGTTATACATTAAACGCGCATACGAAAACGTATTCTGTGCTTGCAAACATGCAAATGCGCAGTCGTAAAGGTCTTACACGCACGCGTAAACGCCCATGTGTATGTGTCAACAAGACGCATGCGCAGAAAGTTTTTAGCTTTGAGGTCTGGATTATGGGTGTTCGAATCAACGACTTTTGACTGTATGCCAGTGAATCGCCAAAAATATCCTCTAAAATGCTAATTCACACTCAAAATGGCAGTCTTAAAAACAGACAGAAATTTCAGATGATTTAAATTAAGGACCTTATGCTGATTTTGCCCAAAATTAAGGACCAAAAATCGATTCCAAAAAATCTAAGGACTTTTAAGGGATCTTAAGGACCACACGAACCCTGTATATGTGTTATACATATGAAAAACCACAAAAATGCCCATGCATCCAACCCATTTGTGGGATTTGAACCATGGACCAAACTACCAGTGTTCAGCGAGTTTAACACTTAGCCACCAGTAGGCCTCTTCATTTTTTTTTGGGGGGGGGAAAAGGAAATGAAATTTTTAACTTTAGATGATTTAAATACCATCATATTAACATGCTCATCTAAAAAAATTCCATCAAACAGTGACATTACTTAACATTCATTCTTCCACTTACACACACACACACACACACAAAAAAAAAAAAAAAAAAAAAGATTATCAAGGCAACAGCCATTGGGCTAGGTATTTGTGAAGTAGAAAGCTTGATCACTAATATTTTTACAATAGCTCTGTCAATTTAATGGCATAGGAAGAAGTGTAGGGCAATCCTTGTGATCAACATTTCCTGATTTGTATTGTCAGTTGTAAATGTACTAAGTCTTTCGTAGATTGTTCACTTTCCGTGCACACTAATTTAATTATATATATACTAATTTCCAACTTCTGTGACTTCACGTTAAACAACAACATCTTTTCCTGTTTCTACTTCTTTCAGTTAGTAACAAGTACACACCTATTTCAAAACATCCGGTAATATTCCTTAACCATAATCACTGCAAAACATGGTGACATTTCAATATCACTAAATTCAGCAATGTGATCTGTTATATTTTCATCTGAATGGTTTGACATCCTTATAATACATTGTTTGTGAGAAATGTTTTGTACTTTTATAAAAATATTTCCTCAATTTATTTTAAAAAAACCCTATTTCTTAAAATTATTTAATATATCCGTAAGTAAATATATACATATAAATTCTACAGTGAATATTATCCTTCAGACATAACTAAATATTTGATCACATAATGACAAACTTACAAAGTGATTCTTTGAAACTAAGGTATGATACATGTTTAGATATTATGCTTGTATTTTAGCTACAGTTACTGCTAAGTTTTTCATAACCGAATAAATTTAGCATCACTATCAATCAACCACTTTAATGCATTCAAAGATAATTAGAAGACAAATTTATCTTAGATTAGAACTGCCACAGTGAATTATAATTCCCACTAATGACAAGAATCACAAAATTGAATTTATTTGGCTATGAGAACTACCTTACCATGTATTCCAACAAAGACTACATATTAACATCAATCTCTACTTCAAGACAAATAACTTTTATCATATTTAGCATTACATTATTTTGTTAATTTGGACAACTGGCTAAATATGAAGTATAATGCTTCATATTTCATTATCAAAAGGGAGGATTAATAAAAAGACATTTTAACCATCAGTCACATAATATTTACTTGAACAGGAGAAACATTTTATTTTTCACAAAAGGCATCTGATGCAAACCTAAAATACAGAACACACCATTATGATACTCATGCATTTCAATTGATTCTTACCTAGATTTTTTTTCCTTATAATCATACACCTGAACTGCAGCATTATGTGGCACTCTTAAAGTTACAGCACGAGCTCCTTCTTCTTCAGATTTAGAAGTTCTCGACTTCACTGCAGAAGCATTAGCATGTCTCATTCTCCATGTCCCTCTGTCAGCTAATGGATCAAGACCTTGATTTAACAACTCTTCTACTTGATTAGGTAATTCCTTAACCCATAATTCTTCATCTTGTGTCAGCATATATGTTGACCCAGATACCAGACGAACCTGAGTTTAGGACAGACAATAAAGGATGATTCATGATAATACAATTAAACATATACAGTCAAAAGTCGTTAATTCGGACACCCATAATCCGGAATTATCTATAATCCGGACCTCAAAGCTACAAACTTTCTGCGCAGCTTCGCGTGCGCATCGCGAAGACCTTTACCGCTGCTAATTTGCGTGGCTGCGCAAAATACGTTACGATGCGCGTTTATGTAGATGGACGGGATAAGCAAGCTAAAACTATCTAATTATCTATTTCAGTTAATGTTGCAGATGCGTTGTTCCTTAATCTTCGAATGGATCCGGATTATTATTTTGCACACTGTTAGAGCAATTTTATAAAAAGAACTTGAACTTCGATTATGTCAAATAGAATTTCCGATAATATACTAAATGTAAGGATATACAAAGCAAAATATCTTGCGAGTCCATGAAACAAAAGTGAAATTGCTGAAAAATGGATTTAAGTTATGAAACTTTAACGTTTGTTTATCTAAAACTTGTTATCTTAACACGCAGCGGCGGCATTAAATGGAAGTTGATCTGTCAGCACTATCCTTATCTTAAGGCGATAGAGTTTTTTTTATTGTTATATTGCTTACTCAAGTAGTTTCATCTCGTCTTGATATATGAATCAAAGGCCGTCATTCATTCGCTCTGATAGGAAGAAAGTGACAGAGGTTATGAAACGACAAATTCGATGACATTAGTCGTATTCTCGACACGAATATAGACTGAACGGCGAACTTGAACGACAAGAAATATTGTTATAGAATAAAGAGAAGTATTCTACATAAAAACGAAGAAACTTAACACTTACATGAAAGAATAAAGAAACAAATAAATATAAGCTTTTTTTTTTTTTTTTTTGTAAAATTTGTACCTTTAGATCCTAATGTTCGTATTCGTACGGTTTCATATTTTTATTTTATAATTCTGCATGCATTTTACAGATTAAACGGATGATCTATAATCGAAAAAAACGAATCCGGAATGCCGAAGTCCCAAGAGTCGGATTAACGACGTTTGACTGTATTACTTTAACGTAAGAATATTTTCATCAAAGACTGCTCATATACCTTTGAGATCTTATAAATAATAATAAATCAGCATGATGTTTATTACAAATAAGGGGAAGTGGGGTTAATAAAATATCAGGGGAGAGGCGGTGAACGCATTCAAAAAAAAAAAAAAAAAAAAGTTGCACAAATACTTTTTCTTTTATTTCCTCTTTTTCTTTATCTCATTTTATTTTTTAAGCAATAATTATACATGGAATTATAGAGATATATTCTTCTGCACATAAGTCACAAACACATGAAGTACTAGTTCAGAAATTTGTAATGTGTACCTGAATTGAACAAAGCTAATTCTGAAAATGTTATAAACTTCCAAATAAAAATTATAATAATAATTGTGAACAGATACTTCAGACATAAGTTCAAGAAATACAGTAAACCCTAGCTGAATGTGGGGAGTATGTCACTAAAACATTGCACATATGGCAAAATCACATTCTAAAAAGTTAATTTTCAGTGAAAAAAACAGGTTAGGTATAGTTTAGGTTAACGAAGTATGTATAATTTATGCAAACCTAAATATTATTTTAATTAAAAGGGAAAATGAAAAAATGTTAATTGGAAACATATCTGTTGCTTATTAATAAGTAGGCAGATGATATACTTATTTTTTTTAATCTCTGGTGACTTTTCATTGAGACAATGTGTGATGCAACTCATTAAATATTTCGTGGTAAGGAATGAAACGTTTTTCCATACCTCTCATAAAATATTCTCTTTTTTCTTCTTAGTCTCCGTTTCAAAATAAGACAGTCCAAATGCCTTTCCTAATAACTAACTTCTTGTATGTTGGCTTTATCTTTTTCACTATCACTACTTTCAACATCAAGTGGTGTTATAAATTCATTCAATTCTACACTAGAAATTCACAAACATAATTTCTTATTAATTCTTTGATTTCTCCTTCTATATTTGAAAAATCTTTCACCACCTATTACTTTTGCAATTTGTACAATTTTCTTGGCTTCATTATCTTTCAATGGAAATCCTTTAAAATAGTTGAAAACTTCTGGCCAGTGCTGATGTCAGCAAGCATTCGCTGTTGATGAATTCACTTGCTCCAATATGAGTTTAATCATTTTTACACTTATGTTAAACTGTTAAATTGTGTCTTAGGTTAAATTGTTTCCAAAATTTTATTTGTGTGTCATGCTTTCATTCACCTAGTGCTTTATTTGGAGAGATGTAAACATGCCTCATATAAGAGACTTTGAATGTTTTGGATTCATTGTTCCAATGGTTGGAATGAGTAAGTCATGTTTAGTGGAAGAAATAAAACTTGTACATTTGGATGCAATAATGTCGTTAGGGCTTTAGTACTGTTACGAAATGTACAGGTGCGGTAAGATAGCTTCCCCGCAAAGCAGGTTTAGGGTTGCCATAAAATGGCAAGGGAAGGCAGGGTTGTCACATTTGGTGAGAAGGACAGGGGACAGCTGGAGGAGGAGAAAACGGAACAAACTTACCGGTTTAGCCAAAGGGAACACCAAGAGAAAGCTATAAAACCTGCGGGTCCGCATCGAGTGTGTGTGCCGTCTGGAGCTGATAGTCATTGAACAGTGTCTCGAAGAGCGTCCGTGGTCATAGAGTGCAATAGAGAATTTTGTGAATCGCAAATATTATCCGAGTTTTGTCTTAGACTATGTGGTCAAGAGCTATAATATGGTGTATCGCGAGTGCAATAGGTGGAGAGTTCGAGAGTATATGGGTTCCGAGAAACAACCAAGCAGAGTGGGGTGTACGGGTGTCTGCAGAAAGCTGTCTCCACCGTTTTGCCTGGACCGTGGAGGCTGTGTCGTGAAGGGTCAGCTGTTTATAACCGTTCGAGACTGTAAAACGGGACATGGAGCTGTCCGTTAATAGGCGAAATAAAATGTGTTCGAAGTCATAAGTGTTGTTATTCACTCCAAATCTACGAACTCCTACAAACGTGAAGAAGAAAAAACTAAAAATGAGGGAGAAAAGAAAGAAAAAAGTAAGGCAGTGTGCAAATTGCGAAAAAAATTGGCGTATGCATGGAGGATGGAGAACCTTCGGAAGATTCTTACCAGTTAGCCCGAATGTTCTCAAACACCAGCCAAAAGCTTACACATGCTGGTATGCGAGAGTGAGTTAGATCGAGTGTACACTCATCGACAGGGCGAGGTGCCGGTCTAGTCGTATCGAGTGGTGTATCATCTAGAGAGTCAATCTGGGAGTCGAACGAGCTGACAGCGGGGAAGAATGACGAAGGAGTCTCTTAGTGTTTGCGGTTAGTACATCATGAGGAGTGTGTGAGCGGAATTATAAGCTGTACTCGGTGATCAACGCTGAACCTAAGAAAATTTGGAACAATTTAACCTAAGACACAATTTAACAATTGTGGCAGGAGCATGCCTGTGTGTCGTTAGTGCCTCGCGAGTTGTAGCATGGAGAGTCTCGATATACGTGGGTTCCGAGAACGACCAGGAAACAGTTAACCTAAGAACATTTAACAATGTGAGTCAGGAGCCGGTCTGTTGTTGTCGAGTCCCGCGAGTTGTAGCATGGAGAGTCTCGAGAGTACGTGGAGTTCCAAGAACGACCAAGGACAGCTGAAAGCTGTACTGTGCTTTGCTGTTGTTCAGCTTTTATAGTAGTTCATGAGTAAAAGTGTTTTAGAGCGCCTGAAATACTGGCAAATAAAGTATGTTTCGTTACTTCATCAAGTAGTGTCATCGTTATTCACTCCAAATCCCCACGAACCCCGTACGAATGTGAAGGAAGAAAATAATGTAACAATTGGTGTCAGAAGAAAGAAAAACGCAACAGTATCATGTGCTGGAGCCTTATCAAAAATTAGGAGAAGTTTAAAGATCAGGTTTTGCCGTTCTAAGTAATGTTTGACTTATTTAATGAATGAATTTTCAAACCACTAATTAAAGAAGACTACTGCAATGAGGCTAACACTCTGCAGCGTATTACATACAAGAAAAACGTATAAAAAAATTCTTGCACCGGACAAATTCAACTGAGACAATTAAAATAACACATACATGCAAAATCAAGTTGCACAAGTCCACATTCAGAATCCTCACATTTATTTCTGACAAGAAAATACAAGCTTACAAGATGCAAACCAGGTTAGAAGATTGTGTCAAACATTGCTGATAATATTGTTGAACACTGGCCAAATTTTTAAATTCTATTCAAGTAGCAGCAACCACCACTAGAATAAAAGCTTCTAATTCCAGCTGTGACAGCAAGAGATCTATGAGCAGCGCCAGACAGACTGAGTATTATCTAGAAACTGTAGTCTATGCTTTAGTTCTTCTGTAGTCCTTCTTTAGTTTCTTCAGATTCAAGTTGGTATAAACCACGTTTTAATGGAAGCCACTGAGTTTACTACAAATTTCCCTATTCAAAGACAGATAATTATAAATTTTATGAGAATTAAAGCTATAGAATAAGAAAAATATAAGCCTATGCATTTAACAACATTTATACACTGCCTTTTTTTTTTTTTTTTTTTGTCTGTCTTTGATAAACATCACATAATTGCTGAAAGAGTAAAACAAATAAGAAAGAGTATTAACTATACCATTCCACAGAGTGAAATACAGGCATAGTCAATTCAAACAACATGGGTGCAAATGACCTTAGAGTGAAAAAAACTAAACTGAATTCGAACATTCCAAGAGTGGCAAGGATAAAACGCTTTTCACAAATAGTTCGTCTGAGTTTAATTTGGCGAAATGGTTAACTGCAGGAGCTTTCTGTTAGTTTGTACATTATCTTTACCAATTGGCAACACAAGTTCTCTTTCTCTGTGTGCGAGCTATGGATGCGAGTAATGTTGTGAGTGTTGTTAAGTTGAATAAAAAGTGAAAAGATACGGTATTATTTTCGATGATCTTCATATGATATCATTATTAAAATGGTAGCATCTCGTGGTTGTGAATATGAATGAAGAATTAGTAGTTAATGTTAAAAGTTATGTACAGCGTAAAAATGCATGTACAAGAAGCAGCGATATCGGATACCGCTATTGATGGTTCGGATTTTAATTGGAAAGTGCGATGATGAAATTTCTTCAATTAAAAAGTGTAAGATGTGGTTCAGCGAAAAGTCAGGAAATGATGACGTGGAAAAATGGGAAAAAAGGATATACAAGCACAAATTACATTTACGGCGCCATAACAAAACAAGCAAGGAAAATTCACAAGGTGAGAGCATTTGATATAATTATGAAATTTGATGCAATGTATTTTAAAACTTCAACATCTCTATAAATTGTTTGTTGAAATAACTTAGAATGTGTGAAATTGAAAAATTATCCTGATGTAAATATATTTTTTGATGATTTTGAGTATGTGAACGAGCTGAAACATGCCGGCACCACCGTGACGGAACAAGAAAAATTTAACTATATGCTAAGAGCATTTACCTTTAAATTACAGTCACATTGGTGACTTAATAGATGTATTACCAGAGAAGGGCAGAACAGTCGATTACCTGAAGAGCAAAATCAAATCAAAATTACTTGAAGAGAAAA